GAGTGAGTGAGAGAGAGAGAGAGAGAGAGAGAGAGAGAAAGAAAGAAGGGGAAGAGGATGAAAGAGATAGAGAGAGGAGGGAGATATAGGCGGAGATAATTTACTAATATTTCATTGACTATAACATCTCTACTTCAGGAGTAGCCATCAACAGCGACGAGCTGAAAAGCTTCACCGGCAGTGTGGTCATCGATGACGTCGACACGTACGCGTTGACCACTGAGGTGAAAGTGGACAAGAGCAAGGGCAAGCTCCAGCTGAGCCCCATGGTTGAGCTGAGACGTGCCGGAGCGGAGAACGTGCAACTGACCGGTCACGTGACCCTCGTGAAGCCTTTCAAGTCCGCGGACGTTGACCTGTCTGTGTCCGGACTCAGCAAAATGCCCTACAACCTCCAGAGTGAGTAAACGCTTTGTTCACTTTGTTGTGAGAAAGAAATGATCTTTGTAAACACATGCATGTACATGTATATGTCTGCTTGTGTGTGCATATGTATGTGTGTGGGAAAGAAATAGAGGGATGGAGACAGAGAGAGAGAGAGAGAGAGAGAGAAAGAGAAAGAGAGAGAGAGAGAGACAAAGGGAGAGAGAGAGAGAGAGAGAGAGAGAGAGAGAGACTGAGGGAGAAAGCGAGAGAGAGGGAGAGACAGAGAAGTAGACAAACACTAATAAATAGACAACTAGTAAGACAATCTAATCCACTACTACGTCAGTTATTGGAATTGAAATACAACACAGTATTTAAGAAAAAACCCTGTGTCATTATTGTATGCGATAGGATTTTTCTAGCTATAAAAGAACTTCATTTTCTTTCAGTTTTAGAGAAATTTGTGTTTTTACCTTATCTGAAAAATGTAGCGTTCCACAACCATGAATTTACCACACTACAACAAATTGTTTACCTTTGTCCGCCAGTGATGTTCAAGGATTAAGAAAGTAAATCCTCATCATTTACGTTTGATCTCCGTATCCCCCCCCTCCCCCAATCCTTTTCAGCCTCTGTGATCAACACGAAGAAAGAGAAGAGCATCCAGGCAAGCTTCAGCCCTGACGGTCAGCGCCGATACACTCTAGAGGCCAGCAACCAAGTGACTGTGATGGGAAAGAAATCGACTATCGCCATCTTGAAGAGTCTGCTCAAAGTGAACACGCCCACCAAGCAAGTGATGTCCCTGACAGCTGGCGCCGACTACAGAGAGGCCAAGTCCCTGAAGCTGGACGGTACCCTGGACGTCTATCGCCTCCTCAAGAAACCCGCCAGTGTCCAGCGTGAGTACTTCCTCGTTGATTTGGTTTGGCTTTAGTTTTCTTTTGTTTTGTTTTGAATTCTTTTGTTCTTTGATTGACTTTTGTTTTCGTTTTTGTTCGGTTGTTTTTTTTTCTACTTATTTTTTGTGAGTTTGCTTGTTGGTTGTTGTTGTTTTTTTTGGGTTTTTTTTGCAGAGGTAAACGCTATGCTAGTTATACAACACAGTTTACTTCAGTTTAATTTTCCAGCGAAATGGACTAAGCTGTTATGGGCAAACCATAGAGTGTCGGTGAAAAGGAACCTGCTGTCTCTGTGTCTCTTTTCTTCCCCGGCTTAGATTTTCAAAAGACATTTAGTCATAAATGTACATTTAGTCAGTCGGAATTTTTTTCTAATTAAAATTACAATCATCAGAACCTGTAAAAGACGACCACCTATTGTCGAGGAAAATAGGTGGTTCTCTTGGATAGTGTCATCGTATAATAGGAAAAAAACGCAAGGGGGGGGGGGGTGGTCGCTTGTACTGGTGATTGTCTAGAACTGATGATCGTTACAGCAATCTCAACTATATCTGTTGTTTGTTTTTCTCTGTTAGTTTCCCTTGTGAAAAGCGGCAAGAAGCGCACCGCCCGCTATGACGTGGAAGGCTCTCTCAAGTCATCTGGAGTGTCCGGCAAACTGGACAGTTACACCACCATCAAGGACACGGGCTTCGTGTCCACCAAGAGCATCCTGAGCTACAGCATTCCCAAAGTGGCCAAGAACAAGATCACACTGGGCGGAAAGCTCAACGACAGGAGCACAAAGTCCTACAAAAAGTACACTCTCAAGAGGTCAGTTCATTTCTGCACTTGCAACACGAACAGGTCATTTTAGACGTGTCGGAGATTAAAAGTATTATTTGAGAGTAACATACAAAGAAAAGAAGAAGAGATAATTAATATTGAGACTTTATAGTAAACAAGGAGCAAAACACGTCAGCTTCCGAGTTTACCCTCAAAGTAAATTAGTGTTTTATAGAGTGATTCAAAAGCTGAGATGTTTACTCTGTTATGTCTGCTCTAAACAAGCAAACTTTTGTAAAGACATTTCGCTTTGAAATACAAATGTAGTGTTTCATTATTGTTCTTTTTTAAACAGTCATTCAGACGACTTGCACAATACTGATACATGCATAAATAATTCCAAAAGATGATTAGGCATGATGGCTTAAAACATGAATATGGTGCACATACTGAATTCTCTTTTAAGTTTTGAAAAAAAAATAGGTAGAGCTTTAATGAATATGAATGACTTATGGAAACAAAAGATTCAAAAGGTTATCAATACATGACTAATTAATACTACTTATGCTGCTACGTTGTTCCTTCAGAAGTCATGAATTCATTCTCCCTTTTCATTTCCCACTGACAGCACCCTCGACATAGCCAAGAACCCCGAGTACAACCTGGGTCTTGATCTCTCTGTGGACCACAAGAAAAAGCACAGCGAGGCTGAAGTGGAACTCAAGTACGGACCTAACCCTAAGGACAAGACCAAGAGGCTGTTCTGGTCTTCCTCTTTCACCAAGAAGCAGGCCAGCTGGAAAAACGCTGACCTAAGCTTTAAGATGAACGCCCTGGCTCCTGCTCATGTGAGTTATTTCCACATGTTCATTCATTGTTATTTTTTAGGGCTACCTAAACGTGGTCCACCCAATTACCACTACAGGAGAAGCTATACGGGCCTTCAGGGGAAGTAAGCAAGACGGCAGAGTACATGAAATGTAATGATCTCCAAGCGGGATGGATTGAGAAGGAAAAAAAGATTTGATTGTTTAGGTTTGACGCCCCTGTTAACAATGTACCCTTTATCCCTTTGGAGGTGGAACCTCAAAACTTATGGTCCTTTTCCGATAGGACTGAATCAAATGGGTGGTTAGCCTTAAAACACCCAAAACAACACAAGCTCAAAACGCCTTTTTGGTGGATCTAAACGGAGGCCTTCCGCTCCTTAGCCTCATGTGATTCCAACTAGGCTAACGGTGAGCCCACGGTTTCAATAATGATATGTGAGGCAGCATGGTAAAATCAGGCGCTCGTCAAAATAATGAAAGTGAGGAAACTGGCATTTTCCCGTAAGTTTGAAAATCTGTATAGATTTTTTTACATTTTTGGCTCAACACCCTTCGTGTCCATTAAAAAACACATAGCTGTTTGAATTCTACGAAAAGACTTTGATTTAAGGCACAAAAATATACATTTTTAGTTTCCGCGGACTCTCAAGCTTAAGGGGGGGGGGGAGGGTTATAAACCCATCTCGGTAACTATGGAATTTTCAGATAAAGCCTTATAGCAAGGCGGTATAAAAGGGAAAACATATGCAAAATGTAACTTTAATGTTTTTGTTTAAGTGTACGGTTTCCATGATAAGGGCGCCATATTGAAAATAAACAGCTGTCAAAAAAGTAAAAAATATTTTTTATTTACCATTTGTTCATATTTGGTACATTGACAGATATACTCAATACAAAATTTCATACAGTTGGGATCTTGAATATCTTGAACAGGAAAAAAGTTAGAGATGGATAACTGACCTCATGCCTCTGAATTCGATTACATATTCAATTATTTAATGCTTAAAATGGTGTGTAATTTTTCAAGCTGAAAATATTCTTGACATTTCTTGTTGTCTGGAAACTGTTCAAATATTTTAGACAGCAACAATTTCGATATTGTAGTATTAATGTGCTTGTGGTCATCTTCATAGACGTACAATGCCTAGTTATGTTGAGTAACCCGATTGTAAGAATTTAACGATTTGCCCCCCCCCCCCCCCCCACCCACTGTTTCCCTCTTTCTACATACAGGGCGTGGACGTAAGTGTGATGGGCCAGCATGAGCACAACCCCAAGATGCTTGACTCTAACGTCATGCTCAATTATGGAGGAAAAGGAAAAGACCTGAGCGCCCAACTGGCCGTTAAAGACAAGAGCAGCAAACTGGCAAAGATCAACGGCAAAGCAGTTGTTGCCTGGCCCGGCTCAGCCTATACCCTGACCACCGACTTTGACCAGAAGTCTGAGAAAAAGTATGTCCACGAGATGAACCTGAAAGACAACAGTGGCATGAAGCACGCAGTCACCACCATCTACAAAACTCCCAAGGGAAACGCACACGAGTTGACAACGAAGTTCATGCTGGAAGGCGTGAAACCAATCACCGTAATTGGATCCACCAACCTTGACCTGAAGAATTTTGAAGTCTCAGGAGAAATCCAGAAAGGCACAGATACTTACGGTCTTAAAACCAAGTCAAAAGTTTCTAAGGCTTCAAGCGCAAATGTTGTTGTGGAACTGGTGTACCCTGCCAGGCGCATGACCCTGCTCGTGGATGGAGGCAAACAGAAGAACAAGTTCAACGGCCGTGTTGAGGCTGCTTGGGACGCAGACAAGGACAAGAGTCAGACGATTGTGATTGATGGGTCCGGATACATGAAGGCATCCAAGAAATCCACGAGTCTGGGAGGCGACATCAAGTTCAACTCACCTTTCGAGAACTACGAAGACATCATGACAGCTTTCAAATACGGAAGTGACGACAGTCAGCATGATCTCAGTGGCAAGTTGTCGTGGGGTGGAAAGGGCAAACAGGTTGTGTCTAGCCTTACTGTCAAGAATCCCATTTCTCTGAGTAATCTGAAGATGGTGGCAGAAGCAAAGAGCCCTTTCAAGGGATTCAGAGTTGTTTCCGTTGATGTTGACCATTCCATGGAACCCACACTGAAAACTGTTCTCAAGGGCAGATGGGAAAAGGAAAATGGAAAACTGACAATCGAAGGCGAAAACCTCGGAGATCTGTACAGACGTAACATCAAAGGAAGTGTTGCACTCAAGTCCACTGTGAAAAATGCCGAGGACATCAAGTTGAGCTTGTCTCACTCTGATGGATCAGGCCGAGTTTCTTCCAACGCTGCACTCATCCATAACGGAAAGCCTTACGGATACGACATGAACATGATCCACTCGCAGAACGGCTGGCAGGTCAAGAACTCTGGAGATCTCGTTTTGACAATGCCCAACACCAATGTCAAGTCAAGCTGGAATCACAAGAACGGTGACAAATACATCAAGTCGACTCTGACTTCCGACTGGGGAAAGAACCGTCTGCTCGTAGATTTGGATGGTTCCCAAGACCTTCTGTCTTCTGGTGCCCTGAGCGGTGATGTCAAGATCCAGACTCCGTGGAGATCGTTCAGAAGTGTAGATCTCTCTTTGAGCCACAAGCAAGGGCAGGGTCTCATTTTGAACAAAGCCTCCCTTAAACAAAACGGCCAAGTGCAAGCCTCTTCTACCCTGAACTACAACGGCCACCCGTCCGGACTGGACATTGAATTTGCTCTGACGTCCCCATACCATGAAGACATCAATGGCAAGGTAAACAGCAAACACAGCGCCTATCCAATGACCGGTATGGCTGAAATCAGCTGGTCCCCCAGGTCTAAAGCTGTTATGGAAGGTTCCGTGAACGTTGCATCATGGGAAAGCGCAAATGTTGACTTGAAGTTGATTACTCCTCTGAGAGAGTACCGCAACATTGTCTTCAAAGCCTCCAACAAAGGCGAAAGGGGAGAAATGGTATCTCACATGAACCTCGACTACGGAGTCCGAAAGAACATCGACTTGGAAAGCAGAATGGTCTACGGTGAGGCCAAGAAAATGCTCCGGCTAAGAATGACAACTCCTTTTGAGCAAATGAAATCCTTGGACACCGGACTCGCTGTTACAGGCGTTATCACAAACTTCGATGGATCCGCAGACTTTGAAATGTACCCAGCTGTTGGTAAGTTCCAGGGCTCTCTCAACTGGCAGTACGCCGACAACCTGAAGGCAAATCTCCGCCTGGAAACTCCATTCCCCGAGTATCCTTACATTGAGCTGTCAACATCGAGCCAGATGACGGGACGGTCCAGGCAGTCGTACATCGCGGCAGAATACTCTCCCCGCCAGAGATACAGCTTGGACAGCACTTACACCTTCGAGATGCCGTATTCATTTGAAGCCACCATCAGCTCTCCTGTCCCCGAGTATGACAACCTGGGCCTGACCTTCCAGCACAGTCACTCTCCATCCAAACTGGTGTCTCACGGAGAGCTGCGTTACCAGCCGAGCAAGAAGATTGAGGGTGATGTGAACGTTGACTGGTCCGACCTTGTAGAGGGTACAGTCATGCTCAAGACTCCATTCGAAGGGTACGAGACGAGCAAAGTAATGTTGAGACATCAAGGCGACATGGACGCCTTTAGCAGCCACGGAGAGGTGAACGTTGCAGATAAGAGCGTGTCGGCTGATGCCAGCTTCAACAGCGGCTACACCACCACAGGAACGTTCACCTTTAACAGTCCCATCTCTGGACTGGAAAGTGTTGAAATTTCCCTGAACAAAAGAGGTAACAGCAAAAATATTAGAGGTGGCGCCACATTGGTACTGAATGGAGACAGATCTCAAGCCAGTTTCAACCATAAAATGAAGGACGGAGCACTGAAGTCAACTTTCAGCTTCTCCAGCCCCAACACTGAAACCTTCAAGGTCAGCATCGACCACAATGGCGCCCTGGACAGTTTCACCAACAAGATGTCTCTCAACTATGGCCGTCGTTACGACATTGACACCATCCTGGCCTTCGACCACAGACAGCCAGACATCAGCGGTAATGGCATGATCAAATACAAACTGGCCGGTCCCCGAAATGTTGCACGTGTGACTTTCAGCAAGACTGGTGAAGTTGAAGATATGGCCTTCAGCGGGACTGTCAGCTACAACAGAGAAGACATCGGCGTACAGGGCTCTTGGAAACTTCTCAGTGGAATGCAGGGTTCAATTCAGGTGAGCACGCCTTTCGACGACTTCAGAAACATCGGCGCCGTTCTGATCCACAATGGAGATTCGAACAACTTTAAAACAGAGTCCAGCGTAACCTACATGGACGGCCAGAGCATTACCGGAAAAGTTGACCTGTCCTCCAACGGCTTGAGCAGAGTCCGCTTCAACACCGAGGTGGTTACTCCTTTCACAGATCTGCAAAGAACAATGCTGAGTGCGCACCACGACTATGACGAGTACACCTTGGCTCTGTCTGGAGGGGCTACACTGACCACCACCATCGGCCAGTTTGGACAAGGCAGTGTCACATACAGCAAGTCAGGGGATCTGGACAACTTTAGCGTTCAGCTCAACGGAAAATACGCCGATGACGAGGCCATTGTTTCTGCAACGAAGAGCGGATCTTTGGATGATTTGACCGTAAGC